AAGGCCATGCACGTGAGCATGTCTCTAAATTGAATAATTATCTGTTTTATAATACCTTCTGAGCTCTGCTTTGTGCTCATGGACCTTGATACCTGTGTCAGTCAATGGTTTTTCAGTACTTGAAGTCCAGCTCCCTCATCCTTACTCTGGGACAGTAGCCAGTTCTCCTTCCTACTGTTCTTCAATATTAGAGTTAAATGCCAGACTCTACTGTCTAAAAAATACTTGCTTCTTTATACAACAACTTAGTGTTGAATTTAAATTTTGAAACAGGATCTTGTTAAGTTGCCCAGGCTGGCTTTTAAGTCATGACCTTCCTGCCTCAGCCTCCGGAGTAGCTAGGGTTACAGACATACACCACTGTATCGGGATCACAGTCTTTTTATGACATTCCCACAGAAACAGAATTTGGTTCCATTGCCACTAGCATCCTAAGACCTTCTGTGGGACAATCTGATTTACAGTCTGTACATGTGGAATGTGGCTCTTTTTACTAATCCCTGTTCACACAGGGGCAAATTTAGGGTGACAGTTTCCCCATCTAGAAGAACTGTTCTTCTTTGTGGGCAGATAAGAACAAGAGCCTTTGAACATGGAGGACTCCAGCCTCTAGGAAGGACAAGACATGTCCTGGCTTGCCTGAAGGACATCTGGAGAGGAAATTTCACCTATTCTGGGCTACTTCTAGCCCTGGCAGCACATGACCCTTCCCTCCCCCATGGGCCATCTCCCTGCAGACCCTGTGGTTAGAGTCACTACCCAGCCACAGGCTGGGCAAAGAGGCAAGAGGTCAAAGTCCCCTAGGCTGAGCTGCTTCTCTCTGCTTCTTACCTTACGGCTGCCTCTGGTGATAATCTGCCACTCAGCATCAGTTTGAAAAGACCTCACTGGAGAATTCAAGAGGTTGCTGTGGAATATTTAAAAATTTAGAATATTGTATCTAAATCTGAGGGTGCTAATTTCTCGGGAAATGGTAAACGATCATTTATTTTAATTAGCAATTCCAAAGAGTGTACATGGCAAGTCAGCAACAGTCCTTGTCCACATCAGTTTTGTCCTGCAGTAGAAATCACATTGCACCTACAGTGCCAGAATATGGTGTTTTGAGGGTATGGGAAGGAGAAAGGACAAGTGAGGCAAGCCTTCAGTTACCTGCTCTGTGAGTCAGTGCAAAACACACCCCTCACCGTCCTTTCCCCAGTCTCCTGTATCTCCAGGGTAGAGATGAAAATAATTCCTGCTCAAGTTGAAGACCTTACTCTGTGTCAGCACTGCCCTAATAGTTTAGTGGGCGTGCGTTCTGTAGCCTCGAGCCCACAAAGTGGGTATCACCCCTATGCCCACTTTACAGATACAGGAGCCAAGGCAGACAAGAGCTAGGCACAGTTAGGCTTCAGGTCTAGGCTGTCTGCCTCTAAAGCTACAGAACACATCTTGTCTCCTGCATATTTTATAGAATGGCAGTTATGTTGCATTTTTAGCTCCAGTATAAAGTATTAATATGAGGTGCTAGCATATTGAAAACTGTGAGGACATGAACACATGCAGTAGACCCCCTTTGTCTGTGATTTCACTTCTCATGGTTTTGAGAACCTGTAGTCAACCATGATCCAAATACATTAAGTAGAAAATTCCAGAAGTTAACAATTCCCAGGTTTTAACATTTGCAGTGTTCTGAAGAGAGTGATGAAGTTTTGGGCTGTACTGCTCAGTCCTGCCTGGGATGTCCGCCACGTCTCTGTCCTGAGTGTCTGCCATACACAATGTCTGCCCATGGCTCATTTTGGAGCTGTCTTGGATTTCAGATTGACTGTCAGGTGTCTGAGGGCTTATGGTCAGGCAGCCTTCCCTTTCCTTCATATTGGCCTCAAATGCAAGAGTAGTGGCACTGTGGCAATTTGGATAGGGCAAAGAGAAACCATAAAATGTGTCCATTCAGTGAAAAAGTGAGTATATAGTAAGATATTTTGAGAGAGAAATAATATTCATATAACTTTTAGCCCAATATACTATTATAATTGCTCTACTATACTATTACTTGTTAATCTCTTACTGACACTATGCCTTAAACTTAATCAGAGGTGGATATGTGCAGCACTATGTGCGATTTCAGCATCCATGAAATTTCTGGATACTCTGCAGATGCAGGGGGCTGCTGGACTGTGTACATCAGTCTCACACTGGCTAACTGCCTTTTGGAGCTTTTGTTTTGATCCATGTTCTACTCAAATCTGTGGAATAATAAGCCACAAGGTAATAGGATTATAGACTTCCTAAAATCCAGAGCTGAAAAACCAAGAGCAACATGCACATCGGAGATCAAGGTTAAAATTTTGGTAGCACTCCGAGTGAGTCTCTCTGCATCTTCCCAGGGCTGCATGAGTGGCAGCTGGGTAGTTCTGAGGAGCAGGGATTTCCCCTTGGCTCTGACTCCAGTAGCTCTGTGATGATAGGTATGGCCTCAGTTCCCTCATTCATAAAAGGTGGTGGCAGTGAACAGCACTGAGATGAGGTTGCAGGGAGCATGTAAGCCACGTGTGGAAGGGTGGCTTCCAGGACAGGCTTTCTTGTTAAAATCATTAGATAATTCATTTAATGTAGGGAAGCAGCAGGTGGGGATACCCAGAAAACATAATTGGGAGAAAAGAGGAAACTTCCCCTGGGGAATCCTGGAAAGATTCCTAAAGGCAGCTGGGCAGGTCCTTGTCTCTGGGGTGCCCAGTCCTGGACAAGGTGTGGCTGTGAGCTGACCTGGAAGGCAGTGGCCACCTCGACTGCCTCTAACTCATTCTCTCAGAGCTATGGAGGCCAATTCTTCTGCATTTTCTTTATGTCAGCCAGCCTCGCTCAGAACAGATGTTCAGGGTCATCTAAAATAAGCTTATATTTCTTGGCAGGCACAATCCGAGTTCAGCGTATTTTCAAGCTCAGCAGAGTGGCTTCTGTGTGCAGCTGTAACTCACATTTCTTAGCATATATAAGTGCCACAGACACTCCCCGAAAGACACTGCCATATTAGCCTCCTGTTGTTCCTAGTTTGGGTTCAAGGATAAAACTCTCCACACATTTGGGTTGGGGGGATGAACAAGAAAAGTCAGTCTGAACCTGTGAACCAGTGAAAATGTGTGTCTTACCGCGCGCGCGCACACACACACACACACACACACAGAACTAGGACTAATTGTTTCCAGTACAAAAAAAAAATAAAAGGACATAGATTCTCACTCAAGAAGCTTTAGACATAAATCTTGCTAGGCCTGCTGTGGTGAAAATATTATGATTTTGAATTTTATATAACCAATGCCTGTGAAAGCCATCACATTTAAAATGAGATCTTATTTATATCATCTGCTTTGTTAGTAAGTGAAAACTTCAGTATTGGCTTTAGTGATTATCACACATTCAGGTTAACATAACTATACATTCATAATAGAGTGTTCTGTGCTTCTGAGGAGCAGTGAAAAGAATTAAGATGTATTGTATACATACAGCAACTCCCCACAGTGAATGTAATCATTGTGTACAGCAAACAGGGACTAAGAAAAAGCCATGGGTAATATGTAAACAGACATGGCTATGTTCCAATAAAACTTTATGGACATGGAAAAAATAAACAGTGTGGTACATTCCATAAGATCGATTTTTTGAAATGTCAAGCTTTTCCTGGGCTCTGTGTGCAATCTGGAGCTAGGCTGGGAGGTGGTGGAGTAAAACAGAAACCATTCTGGAGTCAGACTGAGCGGACTGAGAGCCAGTTTGCTACTTGCTCTCTGCCATCCTGGATCTCTCTGATAAACCCAGGAATCTTTTGAGCCAAAGGCTGAAGGATTCTCATTTCTATGATGCAGCTTTGGTGGTGAAATGGGACAGTGTAACATGTGAAATAGGTGCTGTGGTTTTTGACATCTGTTGGAGGTTCAACTAGGGTGATAGTTAGTGATGGTTTCAAGTCCTCCGACACACATCCTGGTCAGGGGCTGCTTCCGAGGACTAGAAGACAGCAGAGCGATTCTGTGTGACTCCCAGGGTTGGTCATGCAGAGCACACAGCATTTGCTGCCACCTGCTATGCTCGGAGGATGCTGCGGCTGCATGTGGAGAGGTCTCCACCAGCAGTGAACACCAGCTTGGGGCCATGAGTGAGCCACTTCCCGGACTCTCCAGCTTCAGTGGATCTGTGGGGCAGCAGCAGCCCTGGGCGCCATCTTGTCCTCAGCCTCACGAGGGGCCGTGAGTTATAGCCACCCAGCTGGTTCCTCCTGATTCCTAACTGTCAGGAAATAAATGCTTGTGGTTGCCAACTGTCCCATTTTGGGTCATTTGCTGTCTAGCAGTAGCACCACAGTGACAATAGCAGTAACAATCCAGAGTGAGGTGAAAAGCCAGAATTCGTTGACAGCCCCATCTCTGTCTAGGTGATTATAATTAGAACTAAAATCAAGCAAAAGATCACTTTGTTAATGTATTTGTTTATTTAACAAATAGATGGAGTGTGGAGTGTAAGTAAGACCCTGCCTGGCCCTGAGTGCCCTGTAAGGGAAATCAGCACCCCTTCTGGACAGAGATAAAGATCCTTGATTCCCTTAACCCCCGATCTTCACCAGAGTGATGTCTCCTGAGTGTCTTTTGCTCATGTGCTCCTTCATATCTTGCTGCCACCACCCTTGACCACAGCATAGTTGTCTCCTCTCCAGTCCACTGGTCGAGTCATCTCTTAAGTGACCCTCCAGCATAACTTCTTTCCTATTACAGTACACATAGATGGTTTGAATGAGAAGTAGGCATTCTGAACTATGCAAACCAAATTAAATTATTTGCCTATGTAAAACTCCATTCTCTTAGAAGACAAACTTTCTGGGACCTCCATGAACCATTCTCTGCTTACCTACCTCTGTACTTATGGTCTTTCACCCTCTGTCCTTGGCTGGTTATATCCGGTTCCTCAGATTCTCCATGGAGATTGTTGTCATGGGGAACTCAGTGAGTCACCCTTCTCTGCATCCCTCCCACTGTCCCTCCCACTGGCTTGTTCACCTGAGCTGCCTTGACCTCCGAGGGGGGAAAACACATGATGTACGTGGAGCCTTCATAGAGAGTGCACAGTTGGGAGCCCCCTTTCCTGCTTGTAGAAGAAGCCCGAAATATACCCTGTTTTTATTTGAGTAACATGTGCCTCAGTTTCCTTCTTTGTTTCTATCAATCTTTAGCCAGATTCTGGACATGTCCTGAGCCCTGCTACTGCGGGCTGAGCCACGACAGTTGACGTTCACCCAAACTGCTGCCCCAAGGGAATGTGACAGATAGATGACTGTTGTGGTAAGTCATCGGGTTTTGAGGTAGCTTGTGAGGTGGTGATTGCCAGCTGACATGTGCATCAAACTAAGTCCTCTTCTGAATCCTAATACCTAGTGTTCTCTCTGCTTAGTCTGTTCCCCTTCTACACCCTCTCACGCTCTCATGGAGGGCTGCTTTTGTTCCCTTAAGCGTCAGGTTAATAGCCACCACTCTAATAGGCCTGGCCTACTCACCCAACCCAATGTTCTTAGAGTCTCTCTTTATCATGTTGTCTGTCCTGTTTTTCTTATACCATAGCAACGGCTTACCTGCTACGCTCTGCTTGAGCACATTTTATCCCTGTCTAAGCAAATATGAGTTTTGACCCATACCTTAACTTTATAAATTTTTAAATGTGTGGGGGGGGGAATGAGTGCCTCACATTGATGAAATACGACATTTGTTTATTTTTTTACTCCTTGTCTCTCCATGGAGATTTATGTCCCATGAGAACAGGGACTCCTAAGTAGTCCTGCTTCCCATTCAGTCATTTCTCCACGTCGGAGAACAAGTCAGCTTTCAGAATTGGTGATCTAACCATGCCAGTTCTCCACTTAAATGTTTTAATTGACTTCTAACTCTGCCTTTGACAAAATCCAAAATACCCCATGGGTCCTGTGCCCTGTGAAGCTGGGGGCTGGTGCTGGTGCATCCGTTCAGAGAAGTACAAGGGACCATGCTCTGTTGTGCACATGTCTGCAGCAGCAGCCATTCTCTTTGGGGCTAGATCACATGATTCTGGCCCCATGTCCACCATCATGGGACAGTGCCAGTTGCACCTCAGGGTCTCTTCCTGGCTAGTTCGTCACAGTCATCCATCCTAGACTTGTAGTGTCTCAGTGAAAACTTCCCATTTCTCTTGACTAAATTAGCATCCTCAGTATTGAACTCTCATAACCATTTCAATGACAAAATATTGTCTGACGATTTGCTTGTTTATTTAGCATACATTTATTGAGCATCTACTCTGTGCCAGATATAATTTTAGGCATTGAGGTAACAATCAATAAATGAAGCAACAAAAATTCCTGCCCCAATAGTAGTTATTCTTCAACAAATATAAAGACAGTAAGTAAGTTGAACATACAAATATGAAGAGGTCAGATGCTAGTAAGAATTATGGAGAAAATTAAGGCAGAAAAAGGAGACATCAAAAATCCTACTGGCTGAGAGGGGCTGGAATTTTACATATAATGCTCAGGAAAGGCTCATTAAATATTAACATTTGTGTAAAATCCGAAGGAGGTAATGGCATTAGCAGATATTTGGGGAAGATGGTTCTAGCCAGGTCAACAGCCCTGAGGCAGGACCTTGCTCCCTGGGGGTAGGATTGGGGGATATTCTTAAGAATATTCCTAAGGATACACTTGTTAACAAGGGAGAGCCCTGGGAAATGAAGTGGAAGAGGTGATAAAGGAAACTGCATAGAGCCTCTCGGGCCCTGGAGCATGTGCTGGACCAGCCCCTTTGAGCGTTGTAGTAGAAGGGATACTATTTTGAGGCAAGTTTTAAAAACCACTGTGTCTAATATGTTAAGAATTGACTAAAGGAGAAGCAGAGAGAGTGTGGGAGGTCATCTGGGACCATTTCAGCCATTCAGGCAAGGGATGATTGTGGTTTCTAAGTGTGTTGGTGAGAATGGTTGTAACCTGGTTATGGTTTGGAGGAAGAGCCAACGGCACTCTGAGTGGAGTGAGTGTGGGGTATGTAAGACCGATTGGAATCCAGAAGAGTTCCAAGGAGTTGGGCCTGAGCAGGAAAAAGGATGAAATCTTGAGTAGCCAAGAGGAGAAAGCCTGAGGTAGAGAAAACCTTCCTGGGAAGAATGAGAGCTTGGTTTTAGATGTGTTAAGTTTGTAATGTCTTCTGTGTTATGTTCATGATGTCCAGAACTCAAAGTTGCATATATATGCAATGCAATCAGAGAGGAAGTCTGAACTAGAACCGTAGTTTTCAGGATGTTGAAAGTTTTTAAAGCCTGCATGCAGAAGAGTTTACCATGAGGGGAACATGGATTTATTATAATTTAGATTTAAAATGTCCCCCCAATGCTAACATGTGTGGAAACTGATTGGATCTGGGGGACACTATAGCTGACTTGCAGCTAGGAGGGGGGCCCGATAAGTCGCCAGCCTAGAGGTTGACCTGGGTTCTATCTCCCTCCCTGGCTCCTCCTTTGCTCTCCGCTTCCTGGCTGCCGTGGGATGAGCAGCTGTCCTCTGCTAGACCCTTTCTGCCTGGGGGTCAGCCAACCATGGACTGAATCCTCTAAAAACTGTGAGCCCAAATGAATCTCTCCTTTAAGTTGTGGGTACTGGGTGTTGTGTCCAGTGAAGGTGAAAGTGACTGAGACAGGATTAGAGTAGAGGACAGATGCAGGACTCTGAAGACCCCATTGGCAGATGTTAGGGAGGTCACGCAGGGAATGAGAAGCTCTGTCAACCCAAGGAAAGGGACACTCGACTGTCAAAGGATGCAGTGAGGTCACAGCAGCCCAGCATTGGCCACTGGCTACCTGGACCAGGCTGGTTTTGGTGCAAGGGGGATTCATATCTTCGCTCACTGTGCAGGATTAAAAACTGCCTCTTCTGTCAACTGTACCACTGCATTCCTAGTATCTAGCACAGTTATTAGACATATTACACACTAAATTAATACTTGGATGATTGACTCAAAACTGATCATTGGGTACTTTGTGATGGGTCACATATGAACTTACAAAATAAGCTACCTACAATTTGAAAATTCAACCGCTTTTTTCAGGGGGTGGTATGAGTCACTAAAAGATGAGGACATGGAAGCCTTTGTACTGAGTCTGTATTAATTTGTATTTTATTTAATATGTCTTATTATTTATTTAGTGCCGAGGATTAAATTCAGGGCCTCCTGTGTCCTGAGCCTGTGCTTGACCACTGAGCTGCATCCCTAGCCTAGATTAATTTATATTATAAAAGAGAAAATATTGGTGTCAGGAGAAGTCCATCGTATTTTTTGAGCTCCCAACATAGCGATCTAGTCACATAGAACATGAACCTCTATGCCTTGCTGAGCAGGAAAAGCTCTCCTCCCTATTTTAAGACAGAAAACCTTTCAGTTTGGCCCCAGAATGGCTTCTGCTTATTGCTGGGATGAACTGCTCTCTGATGATTGCTTCATGAATTTTCGATGGTCCCCAGAAACTTCAAAATATTTCCTTACCTGTTTTTTGTCAGGAATTCCTTTGATAGGACCAAAGATTTTCATTCCATCATTTTCATCATATAATAGTTGAAGATATAGAAAACAGGCAGTTTTTTTTTAAATGCATGAGGCTTTGCAAGAAACCATAGTTTCACTGAGTACAATGAAACATAAATAAGTGTTCTGTGAGTCCTTCAGAAGAAGCTGGTCTGAACTGTCAATCTCAACTCTTTCAGATTCTCTATGCAGACAGAATCCTCCTGCATGAGTGCACTTGCAAAAGAGGTCTTGGTTGGCAGAGAAGGAGCTCTCTCTATATCTGGAGAATTCAGAGGAGCAGATTAGTGCAGGGCACACTTCTCTAGGAGTGGGCTGTAAACACAGGCATTGGACCTTCTCTGCCATGGAGCTAGCCAGACATGGTTCTCACCGGCTTTTCTCAGCTGGAAGTGACTAGATGTTAAATCAAATCACACAATATTACTTGCAGGGGCCAGACAGGTAATTAGAGAACTACTTTTTTTCATAGCAGGTTGTCAGTACACCAAAGCCAAGGCTGTTCAATGATTTTTTTTTTTTTTTTTGGTTCCAAGGATCGAACTCAGGACCTTGCACTTGTGAGGCAGGTGGCGGCACCACTGAGCTAAATCCCTGTCCCTTGTTAGCCTATCTTTTAAAAATGCATAACTAAAAGTCAGTTACACATACCCACTTCAGACATAGCATCAGTACCTGCACTGCTGTACTCTAAGCTAGTTGCACGGAGTTTGCTAGTAGTCCTGACCAGTTTTCCCTGAAGACATCCCTCTGGAGCCAGGTTACCAAAACCCTACTGCAGGAGATTATCCAAGTTAAATCTCACCTGGGACAAGGAACAATGAATTAAGTTCCTGTCAACCTGTACGTGACAGGTATCTAATGCTTTCCTGAAAGTGGGTTTTGTCACAAGCAGGACAGAACAGGAAGGTCTTGAATGAATGAGAAATTGAAAGGAAGAATGCAAAATACCATTCTGCTGTTTCCTAAGCCTATTCAAGAACTAGCTTAGTGTGATGGTTTCTCTGATTCACACAAAGGGAATTGTGGCCCACGATGTCCTTTTTGAAATTTCATGTTTACCAAGGCTGCCGATTCATTGTTTTTTTCCCCTTAAACAAAATGTGTGAGGTTTTTAATGACACTGTTCAATGGTTTTCTCATCTATTTACATTTGGCCATCAGTTGTATTTTCACTTATCCAAAGAACAATTTTACTGTGCTACAGTAAAAATTTTGTAGGGTAAGTGAAAATCTTGTCCTATAAATCAAATCTGGCTTCCAGATTGGGCTGTATATTAGAAAAGACCATCCATATAGTTATTAATCGTTTAAATTTGATAATGTTACACAAATAAAATATACTAACATCTGTAAGTTACTATTTTGGTAGAAGCCCGGAAGCCCTTTAGGAAACCCTGCTATTTTGCTTATTTATGTTGATTCATTTAAATAGTTTTAAAATGCATTTCTAATTAGGAAAACAAACACTTTCTCATTATTAATGTTAAAATTCTATTTAAGAGTTTGACAAATCAATGAAAAATCCTTAGCATCCAGCAAAGAGTGGCTTTATTCTATGTTTAATCTAATCAAACGGTAGATATTTAGTTTTAACATTGTCTTTGCTGTATTAAACAACACTAGATACATTGTGTATATTTTTCAGATGTCAAATTGTTAAAATACAGGGTGGAAAATCTGCACCTGCTTCACAGGCGCCAACTCTGAAGGAAAGTATGTTGCTTATTGCACAGGGTTTTAGT